CTTTCGGCTTCACCTTCAAAAGTTGGACATCTCGTTTGGCCCTTGCGAGGCCTGAAAATGCCTATCGCACTTCCGCTGATCGCACTCCTGCCGTCGAACCGACTCATCCTCGTCCCTCCTCTGCTCCCAGCCTTCGAGAAGATGCACCGTCCTCCGATCATTGGAGCTCGGAGTTCTGCCTGCCACCAGGGCCACGACGTGGAGCGGGCTCCCATTGAACCAGCGGCAGATCCATCTCTCGCTGAGCAGGAGAAGGTTTTGGGATCTTGGGGGGATTGTCTACGTTGTTGGCGACCTTAGGCCCAGGCCGTCAAGCTCTCCTGATTTCGAAGGCCGAAGAAGTGCTGAAAGCCGCGATGGTGTCCGGCAACGAGGCGATCCTGCGACTTGCCATGACGGATGCAATGCAGCACAAGGTCAACCCTGAGGCCCGCGGGATGCGGCAACGCAGCGGCGGCGCATGTGCACCCAAATTCTCGCAGGTCCTCCATTCAGCACTCCAAGCCCTATGGGCCGCTGAGCTTGGACGTGCTGTTTGCGCATGATTCTGCATGGAGCCGCCAGGGGTAAGCAAACCCTTCCTGAAGGCCATGGGGCAGAGGTCCGGGCAGTTCTCGCCGCCTCAGCGCCAGGCTGTGCCGTGCTGCGGGCGTGGTGTGCTGCTCTGTTCCGTGACGCTGGCAGGTGCATGCCACGGCTGGCTTCGACTGTAGAGATGGAGCCAAGCCTTTAGGACTGCAGGTGTGCCGGAGGTGCGACTCGCTCTTCAAGGAACTTCAGAATCCGGAGCAGTTCCCTGATGTGGACAACCAACTTGAGCATCTCTGCCGGGAGGCGCGGCAGTCTGACGAAGCGGTGCTTCGGCAGAGTGTCTTCGGCCTTATGGAGCCTCAAGACATCAAACTCTTCCTCTGCGCGCCGGACAACAAGCTCTGGCACGAGATCATCGGGCAAACAGAGCATTTTGTGCGGGATCTTGGCGACGATGACAAATTCAGAGCTCCACTGGACAGTGTCGAAGAGATGACGCCGTCGTCAAAGGACGATCGGCTGCAGAACTTGAAGCCCATAGTGATGGACCACACCGTTCGGGAACCCGCGACCAACACGCCCTTTGGTCACACCGGGTACATGAAGTACCTGACTCTGCAGATCATCCGAAAGATGTTCTTCAAAGACATTGCGATCACCGGCCTCTACTACAAGGACTCCTACACCCCCGAGAATCAGATCCTCGAAGAGCTGCGGGACCGTAACGACAGCATGGAGGGGCTGGTGGCGATGTTCGGTCCAGGCGAAGAGGACCGCAAGGCGGGCATGGCTGCCATCAAGGACTTCAAAATCCCGAACGCTTTCCTGGACCTCACCCTCAAGGCCTCGCTTCTGGAGCACCCTCTCGTGGGATCTCCGTTGTAGAGACGAAAGCCTTGAAAACTTGAAACCCAAAGAAAGCCTCGAAGAAGTCTTTGCAGAAGAGTTCTGACAAACGGAGCGCGAGCACCGAGCCCGAGACGAGTGAGGTGTGGGAAGCCCTGGTCCATGTCGCTAAGTGGCCCCCAGCAAACTCAATGTCTTAAAAGATCCTTTTTAAAAGCATTGTTGGAAGGCATGTCGATGATAAGAGAACGGTTCCTCGGATGATGGTTTACGCTCGACATGCATTCCTGGCCTCAAGGCCCCAGCCCCAAAGCCTCAGACGCCTGCAACCCGATCAGCCTGGTCGCCGCTGATGACATAACATAGGCACCTGAGCCACATTCAATGAGCCATTAGGCGGTCACGGAGACAAGCCCGGTGCAAGTAAAATTACGGAGCCCAGAGCATGCTCTCCTGGCGTAGTGACCATGTATCCTACTATCGGGTGTGCGTGAAGCAATAGTAGTGGCAAGTACAAGCTTAGAAAGGAGGAATGGGAGCGCGGTCCTAGACAATGCCCTGAGGAGTGGCAGACCCAGGCTTCCAAGAGTTTGACAAAACGCAAATGCTCGAACTTCATTCGCAAGGCACCGCGAACCTGCATGTAGTTCGGAATGAGGCGAGAAGCTCAGGAACACCATGACTTGGTGGTACAGCCACCACAGATGAGGCATGACGAGCTTCTGGGAGGGTACAAGACTGTAATGCGATGGAGTGGGCGACGACAAGCAACGGGGAGCATCGTGCTACTCACCACTCATCATCCGTCGCTTTTTACTTCAATCCATTCACCTCCAACCCTGGATCCCTGGACGAATGACCTTTACCCTGAACCCTCGTAGGAAGAGGGTTCAGGTCTATCAGGAGACAGTGGCACCCTGGCACCGACTCGGAACTCCAAATCCCAAATTCCGAGAGTTGTCTGAGCTGTGTACATGTCACTTGAATCTGGGGTGTTCGGGGCTCAACAGCGGTCCTGAGTCCTAACATGCTCGTGTGCATTTAGTTTCAGGTTCCTCGAGTGTCACAGCCAAGCCTGACAGCCTCCGACAGGCCAGTGTGCGTTTCGCCGCCGCAGATTTCGTGCAGTCCATCTTAGAGGCAGTCGCAGATCTGGACAGGATCTTCACCGACATGGGCCTTCCGGGAGATCCCTGGCGAAGTGACGAAGAGTTGGGCGGGGAGCATGGCAAGGCCGGCATGGGCGAGATTTCCTTGAACCTTGTGGACTTGATGGAGTTCCTGGACTTGAAGACGGATGGCGCCATGAATCCTGAAAGAAAGACCGAGGCCGAAAGAGCCTTCCGGACTTGGAAGGCCGACGAGGCTTTCCAGCGGAGAGTCGTGGCCATCTTGACAGAGGAAGGCCGAGGATGCGCCAACTACATAGACTATGGGACGCTGGTCGAGTGGCTTCGGAAGTTCTTTCCGGAGACCGAGCACTACCGGATCTTGGTTCACGCACATGGTGGCAGCGGCAACACTCAGGATGCAGCCAGTGTGGAAAGTGTACTGAAGGGAGGCAATGGCGTCTGGGCTGCAGTAATCCCACAGGCAGCTCAACAGGGACACAACTCGTCGTTGGTGTTCCTGGACAACATGCTGTCGCTCGGGAACAAGAATGTCCTCGAGGACCGAGCTCGTAAGGAATTTTCGTTTACATGTCCTCTGTAGTTATCATATAGGTATATTATAGTTCTATTATAGTTCTATTAGAGTTCCATTATAGTCATGTTATAGTTATATATTATAGTTATATATGGTGACATTTTAGTAACAGTATAGTTACATTATAGTTATCCCTTATAGTATGTAAACGCCCATCCCGAGGCTTGGAACCCGTAGCCGCGGCGTAGCCCGACACAGAATAGGATGAAAAGGAGGCGGCGTGGCCGGGCCGCGTCCCCTGCTCGCCTTTGTGCAGGACTTCTGGCTACACCAGGCAGCCCAGTGTGCCAGGCACTGCTACTACCTGAACTTCAACACCCACCACATCCCTGACGACTGCCCTATCTGGGGTGCCCGTGGCAAGCAGCTTACCCACTCGGCATTCTGCACCGTAACAGGCGAAGAGTGGCGCCGGAAGAGCAGCGACTATTACGACATTTGGTCTGACGACATGAGAGTGGCCTTCGCGCAGGTTGGCCAGAGCAAGTTGTCCAAGGAGATCGTGCAACTGCGTGCAGAAAGACGCAACCAAGGCAGCTTCCGCGTGTCGCCTCTCGTCTCCGACCTCGACGTCTGGAAGAAGAGACTGGACGAAGCTCGAGTTCTCCAGGGACGAGAACGACCCGGAGACTTCTATAAGCAAATTCGCTGCTTAGCCTTCGCACTCATGAACGCAAACATCCGAGCCAACTTCGATGAGGCCGCACGAAGCACAAAAGAGGGAATCGAGGTGTAGTAAGTCCTGCCAAAAGTTCTTAATCAGGCGCACACCTTGAAAGAACTGGCGCGCATCGTTCGAGACAGGAAGCAACGAAAGGACCTCTGTGGGCTTAGACTTAGGCCGGCAGGCTTGCAGTTCCTGAAGCCTCAGAATAGTCAGCGCGTCCCTCTCTCAAGCCGGATGAGGAGCACGTTCCGGAGATCACGAACTACGAGAAGGCGAAGCAGCACCAGGGTCAGTTTGAATGAGCGAGAGACCTCACCGCAAACGCGGAGTTAGACCACAGGATTTGGGCTTTGCACTGCCGCTGCTCGGGCCGGCATTTTCCATGCGGGTCCCATGCTTTAGTACTGGCTTTCCAGAGCCCGTGGATCCAAAGGATCCCGGAGATCCCGGAAAAGAACTAGCAGGTCTCTTGGTTGATGCCCGTGCTTGTGATCAGGTCAGACTTGCGTAGGATAAGGCAGCTCCTGCAAGAGCTTTTCCGAAGCCATTTCAAGCAAGAGGCGACAGGCAGCGAGCTCCGGCAGCAACCTTAATGCAGCGCCGCATCCTGCGCAGAGATTGCTGGAGCCCGAGACCACAATTCCTATCTCGCGACCGTGCCATTCCGCACGCATCCTCTCCACGATGGCGAGGCACCGGAGATACTGAAACTCTGCTAGCGTGCTGACATCATCTTTGATGGTTCGCATTGGGATCGCACGGTAGTACTTCAACAGAACTGCCTTCGAGCATCGGAGTGAGGGATATCCTTGCTTTCACACTGTCCAAGCCCAGCATATATCACCTTTTGAGGCATCCGGGTGAGCGGCATACTGGGTGTGGAACTCAGATTCCCATGAAGTCAGAAAGCCAGCTCCAGCTTTCCACCTTTGCCAGGAGGAGCTCTGTGTCTGAAGGTCCCGAGACGCAACCAGCCCTGGAACCCTGCAAGCCAGAACCCTACAGCTTGCAATCCGCTATGTTGAGATAGAGGCACGTGGCCGCAAGCTGGGGTCAGGACAGACTGGCAGGCTCGGGGCTCAGCAACACATGTGCGATCCCTTTGGCCTTTCATCTGTTTAGCTTGCCACTGTGTTTTCTAGCTACACGGGCTTCACGGTAGAGCATGTGTAAGCCTGCTCAGAAACACGATATTGATATCAAGATGTGGAGCTAGGAGCAGCCAACGGCTTGATCAGGGCACACCGCCATGATTGCCATTGCTTTAGCCACGTCCGGGCGTCGGCTGGGATCTGCAAAGCAAACCCAGATGAACCGCTGGGCCGTGCTGTGGCTCTGCGCGGTGGCTGGGCTATTGCTCTGCGCGGTGGCCGCGCTATGGCTCTGCGCGGTGGTCCGGGCCGACGCGCAGGAGGAGTTAATCCAAGCCGTCCTCCAGGAGGATGGCAGGAGAGTGTTTGATCTGCTCTATTACAGGCAGGTCGACATTAGCAACATTCGCACTGCTGAAGGCCAGACGTTGCTGCATCGAGCCTCCGTCTTGTGCTCGATTGCCATTTTACACAACCTGGTTGCCTTTTGGCCGGACGGTGTGCAAGTGGCTGACGAATTTGGCCGAACACCTCTGCATACTGTGTTTTATTGCCCGCGCTATTTTCTCCCACATGTATATGATGCCGAACCTTTATATAATTCCTAGATTTTACTGGATACATGGCCCGAAGGATTAAGGGCCCGGGATGTCCACGGTGACACACCCTTGCACTATGCTGCAAGAAAATGTCTGGTCAACTCGGAGGTGTGGGAAACTCTGACAGACAGGTGGCCGGCAGTTGTGCTTCATGTCACCAACAACGCGGGCAACACTCCGCAACGACTTTGCATGCAGAGTGAGCTGGTAGAAGCCGTCCGCCGCAACAATGCCAGCAGAGTGGCGGAGAGGCTGTCCGCCGGGCAGTTCGACGTTAGCAGTACTCGCACAGTCGACGAGTTCTCTCCAGCTAAAGGCCAGACGTTGCTGCATGAAGCCTCCGCCTGTTGCTCGTTTGACGTCTTGCGCTTGCTGGTCGAAGCCTGGCCGGACGGTGTTCAAGTGGCTGACGAATTTGGCGAAACACCTCTGCATTCGGCTTTTGAAGGCATGTTTAATTCTAATTGCAAGTGGTATACCCACTCACCTTTAGATGATGTCGAGCCGCTACTGGAGGCATGGCCCGAAGGAGTAAGCGCCCAAGATGTCCACGGTGACACACCCTTGCACTATGCTTCAAGAGAATGTCATGTCAACTTGGAAGTTTGGGAAATGCTGACAGACAGGTGGCCGGCAGGTGTGCTTGCCACCAACAACGCGGGCGACACTCCGCTACGACTTTGCATGCAGAGCATACAGTCTCACATGCAGAGTGAGCTGGTAGAAGCTGTCCGCCGCAACAATGCCAGCAGAGCGACGGAGCTGCTGTCAGGTGTCCAAGTGGCTGACTCCAATGGACAAGTGCCTCTGCACCTGGCTGTTGAATATGGTTCGTTTGACGTCTTGCGCTTGCTGGTCGAAGCCTGGCCGGAAGGTGTCCAAGTGGCTGACTCCAATGGACAAGTGCCTCTGCACCTGGCTGTTGAATATGGTTCGTTTGACGTCTTGCGCTTGCTGGTCGAAGCCTGGCCGGAAGGTGTCCAAGTGGCTGACTCTAATGGACGAGTACCTCTGCATGTGGCTTTTGAACGGAGCGTTGAGCCGTGTGGGCCATCCGGCAGAGACACGATACTGGTGCTGCTGGAGGTATGGCCCGAAGGACTACGAGCCGCAGATGTCGATGGTGACACACCGCTTCACTTTGCTGCAGGACCTTGCTGGCGCTCAGAAACGTGGAAAATCCTCACTGACAGCTGGCCCGCAGATGTGCGTGCTGCCCTGCGCGTCACCAACAACAAGGGCGACACTCCGCTGCATGCAGTTCCATTCCGGACGGGGGACTGGGACTATGATCTTTTACAGGTCGTAAAGCAGGTGTGGCCGGACGGTTCTATGCCGACTGTCCACAGACTTCAATGCGAGCTGGTCGTCGCAGCGGCTTGCAACGTGACCGCACCCTGGTTCCAGCCATCCTGGCAAGAGCACGCTGTAGACTTCAACTGTCTGTCATTCCGACAGCTCTCGAAGCCTGCGGTGCAGCTTTGGTTGAGCTGCGGCGGTTATGTGGGCTGGCGATCTCCTTCAGGGATTCCTTTGTGGGCAGATTTGGATAACCCAGACGCCAGGGACTTCTTGAAAGCGCAAGTCTCGACGACAACCCTGATCTCCGCCATCTCCGCCGCCCTCCAAGATGTGCGCACCTGGGTCGTTCCTGGCTGCGTGGTCCTGGTGACCTGCGCGGTCGTGGCCCTCGAACAGAAACTCTTGCAAAGGAAACGGCAGCGCGCAAGTTTGCATTCGACCGCGAAGCGTTTGGATCCGTTCCAGAACGGTGCTATGCTTCTAGTCAGTCGAGCCTTTTCAACCCACGGAACGCTTTGGCGACTCTGGTGTTGGCTGGAAGTTTATACTGCCATCTATCTTTTTGGCTTCGCACTGATTGTTGCCTATTGGGCCTGGTGGTTGCCTGTGGTGACTCTGGCTTACTTCATCCCAGCAGTTCGACTGCGTGGGCTGCGGGCCTTGCTCCGTGCTCCGGCTCTGGCAATACTGAGCCGGGGGTTTCCCAGCCAAGTTATTGCCCTCCTCCGCACTTCAGTATTGATGGGCATTGTCCATTTTCTGACGGCCATCGCCTTACAGGTACAAGCGATTCACGGCACAATCATCAATCCGTTTCACGCGGAGTGGAGACTTCATAGATTCGGTGGCGGGCACTGGGCACCATGGGTCGGTGACTACCAGATCTGGGGTTTGTGGGACAACAGTTCTTTCGGGCCTATAAGCGCCGCAGAGCTTTTCATGTGCCTATATTTTTTCAGCCTGGTGGTCGTCCTGTCTTATGTGGTGTGGTTGGCGCTTGTCGTCGTCATGGGCTGCGCGAAGCGACTCCCTGGTGGCCGAGGGGATCCAGAGCCTGAAGACCTTCAAGAAGTAGCTCTGCAGGCTGTGAAGGATCTCTTGGAGCAGTCGCCGGAGCAATTCGTTGAGGTTCATTCGAAAATCAAGCCAGTTGTGGCGCTTGCTTGGCCTTGGCAGGGAGGCGGACTGTGGTTGAGTGTTGCAGTGGTGATGCTAGATGTGGGCCTGGATGTCAACACCGTTGGGACTTTTCTCCTGTCACGGGACTACTTCTTCGCTGCCGTTCTGATATTCATTGTGGTGCGGAGCACCCTGAAGCAGCTGTGCGTCCTTCCCTTGTGGCGTCTCCGCCAGGCCTCGTTGTCATTGTAAATGTACTTGCCAGGTTCTGGGGCAAATTAAGACGTATCAGCTTGAAGATTACCGTGGGGCAGCAAAAGCATTCTAATTACGGAGGCTGCAAGCTCGCACTTGGTATCGTTGACCTTTTGCTGCTGGGCTTTTGTGATGTGCATGCAGTCATGAATGTGTTGCACTTGATTTTGAGCCAAGCACAGAGACTAGCATCACAGCTCCAATAACTTACATAGGTCGACCCATTTGCATTCTGCAGCAGGCTGTCACAGCCAGCGCAGAGCGCGGCATTCCGCGGCAAGACATCTTGGACTTCCTGGAGGAGATTTGACTCCTTACATAGCTTCGCGAACAAGAGCCGTCAGCTGTAGAGGATGTGTTAGTAAGCTTAGGCTCTTTATCCTCATGGGTTGTTGTTGGTGGCCTCAGGAAGAAAAGCGATCTGAAGCCTTGTTCTGCGCCTGTGTCACAGCCTATGCATTCTTCTGGGCCGTCAATACAGCATCTAGGGCATGCAAGAAGCTTAATCTGGTTTCTGGTAACTCAGTGACGATGCCTCAGCCCAAGATCTGCTTTTGACATCCGTCCATGTTCGGATATGCAAGGCATCGCAAATGCTGGTCCAGTTCTGCAGCATCTTGCTGAGCACATACCAGTTTTCAGGCAGGCCATCGAAGCTCCCGTTTCTTTTGCTACGTTTTAGGCGGGAATCAGCAGGAGTTCCTTCGCTCCGTAGGTGTGGGTCGTGGATGGCTATATATATATATATATATATATATATATATTTATGGGCTGCCGCCACTGCCGCCGACCCCAAAAGGAGAGAGGTGACTATCCAAGGAAGGATCTTAATCATAACGAATACAGCCTTCCTGCGAAACTCGGTTCTGTGCGGATGCCTTCTGCCTCTGAGTCACAAGGTTGCGGAAACATGTGCACACAATGTCCGAGAGCTGAGCACTACCTCGCCGCATCAGTCATGTGCTCATGCTACTCGTGCCAGTTACAAGACTTGCAGGCCCTATCTTATAATTTCATGTCACTTCCTCCGTATCAGGGTTGGCTGCTTTGAATACCGGTGTAGTTGTGGCCATGGGGTGGTACGACAAAAAAGTCGCGCGCGCGGCGGCGCATCGCCAGGCTCGGTGGCGTGTGTCGGGTGAGAGTGTGCGGTGGTGGGGGCGTTGGGCGGTGTGGGCGGTGTGGGCGGTGTGGGCGTGTTTGGGCGGTGGAGGGGGCGGCGGGGGGGTCCGGGGCAATACATTGGCAACCTTTAAATACTCTTTAAACCCTGAGGTACAATGACAGCGGGCGAAGGTCTCTTGTGAACAAGCAGTGAGGCGATGGGGCGTCAGGTACATAGGCATGTGATGGCGGTGCAGTGGCGGTGTAGGGCGGGTGGTTGCGGTGTGTGCGGTTGGGGGGGCGCGGGTGCAGGTCCTGGGCATAATTTGCACCTCTAAACTCCTCTGAAACACCTAAACAAATTACAGCGGCGCATGATCTTTAAACAGAGGCAGTGGAAGTCGGTGTGGGCGTCGTTACCTAGGCGTTTGGGTCGCGGTGAGGTGGGCAGTGAGGGCGGTTGTGGGCGGTGCAGTCTGGTACATAGGCAGGTGAGGGCAGTGAGGGCGGTGTGGGCGGTGGTGGCGGTGTGGGCCGTGGGGGCGCTGGGGGGTCCGGGCATACATTGGCAGCCTTTAAATACTCTTTGAACACCTACAAATACAGCGGCGAAAGACTCTTTGAACAGAGCAGTGGAGGCGGTGGGGGCAGTCTGGTACATAGGCAGGTGAGGGCGGTGGGGGCGGTGTGGGCGGTGGGGGGCAGGTGAGGGCAGTGAGGGCGGTGAGGGCGGTGTGGGGGGTGGGGGCGGTGTGGGCGGTGTGGGCGGTGAGGGCGCGGGGGGGTCCGGGCATACATTGGCAGCCTTTAAATACTTTTTAAACACCTACAAATACAGCGGCGAAAGTCTCTTTGAACAGAGCAGTGGAGGCGATGGGGGCAGTCTGGTACATAGGCAGGTGAGGGCAGTGAGGGCGGTGTGGGAGGTGGGGGCGGTGTGTGCGGTGGGGCGCGGGGGGGTCCGGGCATACATTGGCAGCCTCTAAATACTCTTGAAACACCTACAAATACAGCGGCGAAAGACTTTTTGAACAGAGCAGTGGAGGCGGTGGGGGCAGTTTGTTACATAGGCAGGTGAGGGCAGTGAGGGCGCTGAGGCCGGGGTGGGCGGTGCAGTCTGGTACATAGGCAGGTGAGGGCAGTGAGGGCGGTGTGGGCGGTGGGGGCGGTGTGGGCAGTGGGGGCGCTGGGGGGTCTGGGCATACATTGGCAGCCTTTAAATACTCTTTGAACACCTACAAATACAGCGGCGAAAGACTCTTTGAACAGAGCAGTGGAGGCGGTGGGGGCAGTCTGGTACATAGGCAGGTGAGGGCAGTGAGGGCGGTGAGGGCGTGGGGGCGGTGTGGGCGGTGGGCGCGCAGGGGGGTCCG